TGAGCCTAGGGATCAATTGATCCGACCTGTTGAAATTTGATCCAACGGCTATAATTATTATAACTTTTAGTGGCACTTCCTATTGTAGCCGTTTGATCAAGTTTTAACGGATCAGATCAATTGATCCCTAGGCTCAGGATCCTTAGATCCGGAGAGGATTGGATCCCAATCCTCTAACCATGAAATTCAACAAATTGTTCGAGAATACAAGAAGCAGCCTCCAAAAAGAAACTTTAGATCTTTACGTGAGGATTTTCCCAAACATACGCTATATCGGAGGTATATTATTTCATCAATTACATATAATACTAATTCAAGCATCTCCAATTAAAGCCAATGAGTGGGGTTATCCTCATCAAGAACAAAAATACTACTGTTACCACATGATCAACATCATAAAATCAAGCAAAAGATTCAAATCCTCAGAAAAAGGAAAAATTTAAAAGCTGGATTTGGATAAAAGTGATGTTGAATGAGGAGATAATTAAACGCAAAATATCGGGTGCAAGGATAGAATTTTCACAATTTGAGATTTGAGATATGAGGTACGATGTTGTTTGTAGCATGTCTGCCTCGGAAGAATCCCACGTAGGATGAAAACAAGAAGAAATTTTCCCACATCATGAAGTCTATGACTGGACCTCGCCCCCACATCGATCGGAGAAGAATCATGCCTCACCACCAACTACGTGTTTTCTATGGTTACTTGTTTAAGTTAATGATCTCTTACATATTTTGTAAATTCTAAAATTAGTGATGAGAATACTCTACAATTCTTCAACCATTTTTTAACATCAACAATGTTAGTACAAATTAAAATAGCAAATATAAAAACTTAGTTCACAAAAAAAAAAAGAAAAAATTACAATAATATCCTAGCTAAAACTTCGAACATATCTTTATCGCAAGAATTGACCCGCAAGTGACTCTACATCATAATGTAATCTTCTCTGCTGATCTTTCTCTCTAGGTACTCTAGTAATTATCTATAACAACACTCGTTAATTTTCAAGTTCGACATTTTATGTTTAAGGGTACGGAAGTTAATTTATATTATGAAGAAACTTATAGTTAGCTAGGGTCATGTACGCCAACAAGAGTATTTTTATATTATTTCGGGTCACAACTTTTTTTATTTGATGGAAGAGGGGATTTTTGAAAGTTTTCCCACAAACAAATACATCGCTAATGAGACTATATACTTTCTTGGTAACACAATAAGGTAGATTATCGAACCAAAAAAAAAAGTGTATAATCCAAAATTTCGTAAAAACAATTAAGAGAGTTTCCATTCATATTTTTTTTTTCTGAGAATATGTGTATAGGGGTAACCATGCACGCAGTTTTAAAATTATCTAACTGGATGTCAAATTTTGACTTTGATTTGCCATGGAGTCAAAGGGTTTGCGATTTGTTTACATCTTTACCCCAATAGATTTATGTTTTTATTTTTTAAAATATTTTTAGTTACATGATTATGAAGATCTTTTAATCACATTGTTACGACCATATCTATTACTATTTTTATCTAAAATATTGTCAGATTTAGCTTAATTATGTTGTACGAAATGATATTATTTTTTATAGAAATAAATGATATTCTTTAAAATGTTAGAATTACCCAGATCTTTATTCGATTACATACTTAATCATCCTTCTCCTTTAGATATTCTTTTCAAAAGAATGAAATAGTCAAATATAAGTCTAAATAGAAAAAAAATTTCAAACTAATTAAATGCCAAAAATAACCATGAACAGAAATCATCCTATTAAGGGGAAACAAATATTTTAATCGCTTCATGCTTCATCCCTACGATGAACCATAAACTATTATTTTTATATACAAGAAGGGCTGCAAGAAGCCAAAACATTGGAGAAAGATAGAGTCTAAGAACCCAAAAAAAATAAGAAGAAACAGATAGATATGGATATGGGTTCGATCATATATTCTCTAGGCAGGGTCTTCTTGTTATTCTTCTTGTTGGTATGGGAAACAGAAGGTCGTGATCAAGCCAAGTATTTCGACGTGAGGAAATATGGTGCTGTTGATGATGGAAAAACTGATAACAGCCAGGTATGGCTCTTGCAAATTTTTATTTATACTGTACGACTCTTGGGTAGCAGAGAGTGTACTCTTTGCCTTTGTCCGTCGTACCTCGAGGAGCTAACGTCGCCTCATCTTCTATTTTACTTTGTGCATAATTATGTTTATAAGTACTACTTTGAACTTTCGGTGAATACATGCATTTAGGCATTTCTGGATGCATGGAAAGAAGCATGTCAATGGAAAGGAACGGCAAGGGTTGTGGTTCCCAGAGGAACATTCAAGTTGTATCCAGTGATATTCTCAGGTCCATGCAATGGTCCGATTGCCTTTCTGATTAAGGGTACTTTGAGTGCTACGACTAATCCATCAACTTTTAGTGCTCACAGTTGGATAAACTTCCGGTACATCGATCAGTTGACAGTGACCGGAGGCGGTACCTTGGACGGCCAAGGAGCCTCGGCTTGGCATCTTAACAACTGCAAAACCAATCCCCAATGCCAGGCTCTTCCTATTGTAAGTTCTTGATACTTCTCTCTCTCGTTTTTTTAATGGAAATGTTAGGCATTTGCCTGACCAATTGTCTTATTCTTTCCAGCCACTAATTTTTAAATTTTACTGAGGCAAATATTAAAGACAATTGTCACGTAAGCCATGAAAGCATGTATGTATCTTAAAATTTTGCTACATCCCTTAAATATGCTCTAAATACATAGCATTTATGTCGTTAATTATTCCACTAGTGATCGCAATTTAACATCTTGTTCTGTCCCGTGTAATATCATATCAGTCAATGAGTTTTGACTTCATCACAAACGCAAGAGTCGAATACATAAGATCATACGACAGCAAAAATGCGCATTTCAAAATTTTCGGATGCCACAATATGGGCTTTAGGAAAATCAAAATCTCAGCTCCGGCTGACAGTCCGAACACCGATGGCATTAAGATTGGAAGCTCATACCGAATCAGAATCGCACGCTCTACGATCGCCACGGGTGATGACTGTGTCGCGATGGTGCACGGAAGTAGGAAAATCCACATTTCTAAAGTTGTGTGCGGTCCCGGGCATGGAATCAGCATCGGAAGCCTAGGAGGGAATGACAAAGAAGACGATGTGGTCGGAGTGACTGTGAAAAACTGCACCTTTTTGGGGACGGATAATGGTGTGAGGATCAAAACTTGGGCTTCTCCTTATACCAGCAAGGCTTCAAATTTTACATTCCAAGACATTTTCATGGATGACGTTCTGAATCCTATTACCATCGATCAAGAATATTGCCCCAACCCTCCTTGCAATCAACAGGTATATTATACATGACCTATTTGCTCGCTTCATACTAGTACCTCTTTGCATGGCCTAATATAATATATACATGATTCATATCTTACTCACATGATTTAGACTGCAAGTATTCGACCAAAGAAATTTGAACTTAATTAAACAAGGTTTCTTTTTCTTCCTTGTGCGCAGACTTCTTCGAATGTGCAAATCAGCGACGTTACGTACAAAAATATATGGGGAAGTTCGTTGTCGGAAGTAGCCGTCAGTTTCCGATGCAGCAAAACCTGGCCATGCAAGAACGTACTGCTGGACAGCATCAAGATGTCCCATTCTAATCCCGGAGGACGTTTGCGTTCCTTCTGCAAGTATGCCAAAGGCTCCTCTTATGGCTCACAAAGCCCTCCATCTTGTTTATAGTTGTAGCTAAGAATTAGCTTTATGATTTCAAGTATTAGATGGCTCACAACCCCATTAGCTTTACGCTTAGGGATGGAGAATAAATTAGTATCGAACTTTTCATTTACGGGATTCAAACATGCGTGTTATTTTCACAAATGTACATTGAAAGAAGGGGAATCAAACACAAAATTCAGAGTGCAAGGACTCTTAGTTGAACTAGAACCCCCTTGCCTCTTAAGGGTATGTTTGGTGTCTAGAATTGAATTGGATTAGATAATTCATAAAATTTCCTTGGAGAAACAAATAGAGGCTAACTTTTAAATTTGAGTAATGCTGCGCTTACCACATTTTTCATATCACATTTATACCATCTCTCTAATAGATATAGGGCCCACCAACACGTGAGTCTCATCTCTATTAGAGAGATGTTACAAATGTGGTATAGAAAATGTGATAAAAGTAGCATTTTGTTCAAATTTTGTCCAAGTTGAAGGAATAAGACAAATTATTCATGAAGGAAACTTATGCTTTCTGATACCCACAAAACAATAGGATGTGAACACCATATAACTAATACGTCAAAACGTCTCCTTCAACTTAGACAAAACTTAGAAGTGTGACTTCATTTGTTTCTTGAGCATATTTCGATTAAATCGAATGAGTTGTTAATTCAATCCAATCTTGAACCAAACGTGACATAAATGGCCAGTTAGACGCAGCTTTACTATCCTCAATTGGTCATCAAGTTTGTTTTAATACTATAATATTCTACTTTAAGGGAGGGGCCGTTGAGGTGGCGGTAGTGGCATTGACGGTGGAAGAGCGGCGGGGACGATGGTAATGGTGGTGGTGATGGTAGACACTACTCATCTGTTGCCATTTTACTAGACAACCTCAACCTATGCTTAAAATGAACTAGGAGCCATTCCCACCGTAATCCGTCATCGATGATTCCTACCACACCCTATAAGGCATAAAACATCTCATCAACCAGACAAGAAAATATATGTTCTGGTTCCTTGCTGCAAAGTTTGTTGCTGGGTTTCTTAGTCGCCTGGTGTTTTAACCCTCCCGGAACTAGTAGCCATTCCCACCGTAATCCGTCATCGATGATTCCTACCACACCCTATAAGGCATAAAACATCTCATCAACCAGACAAGAAAATATATATTCTGGTTCCTTGCTGCAAAGTTTGTTGCTGGGTTTCTTAGTCGCCTGGTGTTTTAACCCTCCCGGAACTAGATCATACCAGAACTTAACTAGAGCATTGGTAAACTGGAACACTGCACCATTTATTCAGAAAATACAAATTGGTATTTAAGCTTTCAGAGTGCCTGCACAGAGTGAGAAAGGGCATACGCTCGATCATAACCGAACCGAACTGAACTTGAACTTTAAAATGAACGAGGTTAAGCGTACGATTGCCAAGATCCAAACCATCTTTTAAAACTTGAACTGAAGCAGGGTAAACTGCGACGGAAAAGATGGAAATACTGAAAGGAATAGATGATTAAAACAACAAAGTTCCTCAAGACTTGTCAAGCCCTCCAAGCTCCATCCACGGATCTTTTCCTGTGGTATTGGTTAATGCAATGGACGAGTAACGCGTGGCCTCACAGGTGTCTTTGAAGGACTTACCCTACAGGATTACGATATATGCAAGATATTAGAATATCGAATCATTTGAATAATTACGATAAACCTCATGGGATCACAGACCACACCTGATGGGTTGTGTTCCCAACAACATTCCGCTGCAATTCAGCGCAAGTATAGCACTTTCTGCCTGTTCATCGAAACAAGAGAGTAAGCCAACAGAGCTTCCATGACAAAGATCCTTTGTGTTGGGGGATTACAGTAAAAAATTACGAGGAAACTCTAAAGTCGAATGATCACATTGAAAAAGAATGGAACGGCACATGAGTGTCCAAACTAAAAGAACTGCGACAGAGGTGTCGAATCCAGCACCATAAAAACACATTGTGACGACATAAAGGATATAGCTCATATCATTCCAAAACAAACTTATGTGCAGAGTTCCATTTTACTTGGAACAATAGTTCCGAGTTTAAAAACAAATATCTGTGTACATCTTTACCCGAAACGAGACTATTAACTGATGGTATGACATATAAATTCCTATAGAATTCATCCTAACTGATGGTATGACAAAAACTTCCATAGATGGAACAGGAGCTTTCTCAGAGAAACAATTCAGACGTTTGCTCCATATATTTTCATTAGTTATGCAGATAACACGGTAGGATCAGTATTCCTAAATTCAAAGCTATATACCAAAGTGTATGCAGTAGAGCCTAGGAAAACTTTCAAAAAGTAAAAGCTAAAATCAAATATAAAACTAAAAAGAAAACCCTTAAATATAATAGTAAGTGATACTTTCACTCCAAAAGGACCTTCCCAATGCACGAATACAAAAGCAGCTCACGAAGTTACCTTTGGAATGCAATAAACATTTCCCATTTCATTTATGTTTGATACATTTGGGCATACAAAAACATAGTGACATCAAAAACCCTCAGCCAACCTCAGAAATAGACCGCACCAGCAAAGAGTCATTTAATACAGATTTTTAATGTGTGTGCGTGTGTGATCAGATATCAATTTTCCACACGGTTTGTAATGAAAAACAAATGCAAATGGAAATTCTTATAAATCATCTCCAAAGATCAAACATAGTAGATTCAGCATAAAGTTCAATTAAGGGCTAAACAAAATAAACATATCTTAACAAAACTTTGACTCTAGTCTTGATCAATTTTAATGTTGCAAGCTTACCATTGCAAATTCAACAAAAGCTATACGAGTTGAATGCACATGATCCCCCAAAAGCCTCAAACGAGTAACCTAAAAGTTTCAAGAAAATATCAACCTGAAGTCAGACTGTAATAACAAACACCATTCACCGAGAATTAATAAATAAATAACTTATGAATAACATGCTTTGGAACTCTTCCTACCTCACCGCAAGCTGTTTCAAAGAAATTCTTGACATCAGCTTGAGCAACCTGCGCACATACAGAAATTACCGAGGATTCAAGTCATTTCAACTTCTAGACCTTGCATCGTCTGGGACACAAGGATGCACTGAGGAAACCAAAAATTTCATTCTGGTAAAACAGCAAAATTGTATACCTTCTTATCGATATTTGTACAATATACAGTCCTGCTACACATTTCCCGTTCATCTTCTGACTGCAAATGACAATATAATATTCTTATGAAGCAAAAATCTTGAGAGTGAAACCTTAACAAAATGTTAGTGCACGCATCATTCAGAGGATAAAGCCAATTTTTTTTTTAAAAGAGTTGTTCATACCCTGGGGAGGAATGTAGGATTCACAGGAAGGATGGCAGTTTTTGAGGGTAAGACCCTAACAGGGTAGTACCCTAGCATTGTCCCACCGAGGCTCAAAGCTGCTCTCGCACCATCTGTTAGCAAAACTACAATGTAACATGCAATACAGGCATCATAAGGTTTTACAGGCAGACCAAGAGAAAATCTTACACTCATCAGCAAACTCCACAAATGCAAAACGGAGCACTGAATGCGGATCACCACAAATTCGGCAGTCAACAACCTTCAAATAAAAAGATTACAACAAAAGTTTGGGTCAGCCATCTAAGGTATTAACCATTAAGTAAGAAGCAACCATATTAATAGAACCTAGTATCCTTGCAAAAGACGTGAATTACGTATTTGACAATAATAATAATAATGCTTAACATGCCTTTCAAGTTTCAATGCTTATGGCATATATAACAGTTCCTAATTACAAAGACATTAGGAAAAAAGTTTGAACCCTCATGAAGGAAGCCATATGGCGTACACTTTCTTATGTTCCTCCCAGATCATATAACATGAATAGCGTACAACAATACACAAAAGAAAATGTACGGGGAAGTTAGAAAACTCATAAATCTTGAGTTGGGGATGGAAACAAGACACATGCAGAATCACAGGGGGAACGTTTCATTTTATCGTTGTTTTTATGTAACCCCCCTTGCTTAAGAATCCCTTCAAAGTCTATAAATTTAACCTAATCGTCAAGTCTTCATATTTGAGCTACGTCAAACCAAATAAATTTCTACAGTTTAATTTTGAACACGAGTGAAAAAACCTGCATGAAAGGTATAAACACTGGATGAAAAAAATTAACTTTTTTTTTCCAACACATAAGTGTTTTACAGTATAATTATATGATCACAAAGGCTTCACAAAATGTTACAATTTTATTTGACCTTGGAAAAAGTGGAAAAGCATAAATGATTTAATATCAAGTTAAAAGAATCTACAAGATTAATATCTCCATTCAGAAGAAGCCTTTTTGTCCCAGTTTATATAGAAAGCTGTCTCTCAGAAACTGATATTGATCTGGAAAATGAAAGCAAACAACTTTATATACTTTTCTCCTGCATAACATTTATTTTAAAAACTTAGAAGCTTTATGTGACTCAAATCCTCATGGCACCAATTTGTCCTGCAAATTTCACCCCCTCATAGACTGCATAAAGGGAACATGGTGACCATGTACTGCCCCTATCTTCTTCCAGTGCCCTTAACATCGTTAATGTAAGTGAAATGAGCAGGAAATCAGAATGTGGAAGTGGGTTAAGCATACAAGATTCATTTGCATTAATTTAACCCTGGATGGACAGACCACACTGAGACAATTTCAAAAACTTAACAACAAGTCTAAAATAGAAAAATACAGGGACTAAACTGGAACATTCAAGACAGCAGAGGCAAAAGTATAGAAAGTAATTTTCAGTCTGCCATTATGGTGCATTATCTCGTTGATGCCCCATAGAAGTTTCAATGTTAAAATACATTGGCGACACTCTGAAATGTAAAATGGCAATGGCATTTACCAACACTAATACAATATTTGTCACGTGAACTCAGTCCTTACTGTTTAGAAAGGAATGATTGTTGTAACTTGTAGTGGCAGAGAAAATGAATATCTTCATTTCAGGGAAAAGTGGAAGATAGGTTATCTTATGAAGGAAAAAAGTATGTTATGGAATTCATGCTCTTGAAGTAGAACCACAGAATTCTAGAGAAAGCAAAGAAATCAAAAGGAAGCCTCCAACTTTGAATTTACAAATTTATTGAAATAACCACTCTTTGTAAAATCAGAAAACATAAACTGGAATCCGGGAAAGCAATGCAACTTACTTGTCCGCAACTACTAAATATGGCAGCAAGACGCTCTTCGGTAACCTAAACAAGAAAAGGAGAGTTTTTATAACAGCTATTTGTTTGCAACTAGAAAGGAACAGAAAACTCAATCCAGGAATCAAGATCTTATAATTCACTTACTTGCTGATCAATATCAGAAACATATACTGTTCGCCTAATACTATTTTCTCGCTCAGCTCTGTAAGCTCTCCCACTAAGTCTTCTCTTCCCCTGATTAAAGTTATTTGTTCTCTGGGAAACACAAAAAGTACAAATTATTATAACCAAATATAATGAAGGAAAATAGTAATTACATGTGTAGCATTATCGCAAGCAACTTCCTAGTTCCTAGAGAAACTGTCAATGTTTGTTTTGGTGAAACTAAGTCGTTTCAAAGGTCTCAGTCGATAAGAGTTCCAAGAATTAATCAGTATACTGACGAGACTAAAAATCACGGTCATGATGACAATAACAGTAATGATCATGATGAGAGTTTCTCATCATGCTTGAACAAATGCACCAAGCAGAACTCCATGTCGAATGACAAAAGTGATTGCTATACATATCCCAAAAGACTTTGCTAACCGAGCGTGCAGCTGACTTTCCAATACAAAAACAGAATATAAACTGAAAATCAGAAGGGCAAACAAATACATAGAATTCGTATACTCCCAACACGTACAAGTAAAAACTCGAACATGAGATCATGAATTCAAACTATACCAGCAAACAAGTGAGTTTTAATCCGACACTACAGATACAGTTACATTACTGGAACATATACACCTTTTTTATTTATATCATAATCAGCAATCAGTATACCCCTTGAAAATTAATGATCAGTAAGGAAAAAATTGTTGCAGCAGAAAACTCAAGAAACAACCCGAATAGCTACCAAAATTACCAATTCAACGAGAAACCCAATTCAAATTACAACAATTAGAAAAAAGAAAAAAAAAAAACCCATTTAGATCAAATCCAATATACAATCATACGAAAAACAAAATATAAAAACAAACCATTATTCAAATTACACAAAAACAAAACAAAAGGAGATCAAAGAGAATGATCAGTACCCTTCGACTGTTGGCCTGATTACCATTGGCTGAGAGCTTATTGTTATTGACAGCCAAAGAGTTTTCAAAAGTAGAATGGTGCTGGGGAGAATAAGACGAAGGGAAGAACTCTTTGGCTAAAGGGTTGAGCTTGGTGAACATATCCACCAGCTTCTGCACATCGAATTCTGATTTGGATTCAGGCATGGGTTTTGACATTGAATCCAAGTTGGAGTTTTTGGCAGAGGCTGCCTCCCCGGAAATCTCAGCAACCGCAGCCATAGAATCAAAACCCACCACAGAGATTTATATAAAAAAAAAAAAAATTAAAAACAGCAAATACAATAAAAAAGATTGAAAATTTATAAGAATTAAATGAAAAAATGAAACTTTATTTGTTGCTCTTGTGCTCTCTGTGTATGTAGTTGTCCCTCTGAAAATGAGGGTTTATTAGAGCTTTGAGAATTTAGAGCGTAATTGAACAAAAATAACAAAAACGAAAAAAGATTGAAAATTTATTGGAAATTATAAGAATTGAGAAAGAATAAAATGGTTGGAAGAGGAATATGAATATTGGGTTTAGTGGACAATGATCAGGGAGCTGAGGTGGTGATGGAGATGGAGGTGTTGGGAGGAGGAAACAGTTAGCTTTTGGGTTTGGCTTCTTTTGCTAACGCTCTAACCCTTTTCTCTCTCCTTGTGGGTTTGTTTTTTTTTTGTTTTTAAACTTTTTATATTATTTTTATCGTTAAACTTAAAATTTTTAAATCATTATCATTAGTTTTTATTTTTTTATTGAAAAATTATATTCATACATTTTAAATTACTTATTTTATATTTTTTAATTTTTTTAATATTTTTTATATATCACTAACGCTTGATAAAAAATATTAAAAAAACTAAAATGACATGGAAAAAGTAATTTAAGATATGCTGAATATAATCTTCCTTTTTTATTTTGGTTTTTGGGTTTGGTACTTCGGCTTCGATTTCACAGAGAGAGGAGGGGGAGGCTTCGGCTTGGATTTCACAGAGAGAGAAGTGGGGGCGCCGCCGGGGGGGGGCGGGGGGGGGGGGGGGCCTGTTTTGAGGGTTTGTGACTTTGTGTATTGGGGACGTTAAAAATGGCAAGGAAGGCAAAGCTAACGTAAGATGACCTAAGCAAATGATAAGCTTTTTGCTTCTCTCTCTTCCACTCTGCCTCTGCCTTTCTATCTGCTTACATTTTTGCAAGCGTAACAGAGACATGTCATTCATAACTACCCCTTGAGTTTTTTATTTTATTTTATTTTGTTTTGTTTTTTTTTATTTTTAATTTTAATTTTATTTATGAAATTAGATAATACCCATAACTTGTTTTTCTGAAATATCTGTTAGACCATCTCCAATCATTTTCTAATGGTTTATGAAAATAGATAAAATTTAAAGTTTAGGCTTTTTTTTTTGAATTTTTTTTGGAAGTTTAGGTTTCAAACAAACTCAATCATTCTCCAATAGTTTGACCTAAATTAAGTTTTGAGTTAAAACTTAGAATTTGGGCAAATTTAACCTAGAATTTTGGCTAGCGTTAAAAGGCTAGCCCACCTTAAGCGGAGGCCGCAGCAAGGCGACGCACCCAACACATGAGACGTGCGATGGCTGACAGGAAGTGGGGTCCGCCCCTGACGAGAATGTTGACCACCCAAAACGAGCCCAACGACTCTTTTTCAATTCGACTGTTTTAATTATTGGACCGTTGGTTGACGAACGGTCTAGATTCAAACCTATTTAATTTAAAATTTTTAAATACATTCACTTCAACGGCTGTGATAAAATATAATTAAATCCAAGGGTAAAAAAAAAAAAGTTCTAAATGCCCCAAATGACATCCAACAGCTAATACAATTAAAAAATTATTTAAATCGAAAGTCGCTTAAAAACTCTATAAATACATGCTTTGTGGGGTCGGTTTAGTAAATTTTCAAATTTCATCGGAATATAAATATTTTTAGGTTAAAATGTTCATAAAATTTTTATTTGACAATCCCTAGCAATTTTATTTCAAAAAAAGTTACTGAAAAAGAAAAATTATTTCTAGGTTAAAAAGTTTAGATTTTAACCTAAGAGTTGGAAATGGTCTTAGTAACAGTAAAAAAATTAAATTTATTTTTCATAGCTTGGTTTAGGATGGTTGAGTAGAAAAGTGTGTCAATTTCTTTGCAACTGAGTTTGAAGTCTTTTCTTTTCAAGTTAGGATAATTTAAGATATATCATTTTGTTAAAATCAAATAGCATATATTCATTTTAGTATTGTTATGTTTGGGAATATAATTTCATTGTTAATGTGTATAACTTTCTACTTTATGTCTTCTCCAAAGTTGTTGTGCCACAAAGAACAGGTTCCTATTGCCTTTAGGCGATGTGGTTGGTTTGGAGTGTTGTGACTTTTGATTGTAAGGTTTAGCTTGGAATTAAAGAGTATGGACCATGTGGGGGAATTTTATGCCACAGGTCAGTTTGAGTTTCTTTTGGGTCTTATACTCCAATGGAATGCATGTTAATCAATTAATTAATGGACTGTTTGGTCTTTTTAAATCCCTAATGATGGTCAAAAATTCATTTTTGTAGACTGAATTGTATGTCATGACAATATGAGTGACAATGATTTCTTCTTAATGTTAGAGTTCTTTTATTTTCTTAATCCAATATTTGGGTTTAAAATTATGGCATTTTATGAGATTGTTGTGAAATTAAGCTAAACTTGCATCAGGATATTTTGAGTTGCATCTGGGGGCACATGTTTCGGGCGGTGCCCTTATGCCAAATCCATTAGTATATGTATTTGTTTGCATTCCATTCCCATTGCAGGTGAACTTGGGAGAAGGGGACACTCTTTTCCTCAAAGAAACAAACTTGCAGGAGGCCAATCCGATGGCCTTGTTTGTAATCCGGTCACACATTGGTTGACGGGTTGATCACTACAACTTTATTTGCTTATGTATTTACTTATTTGTATATTTACAATTCAGTTTATACATATTTTCTTTGGTGCAAGTTGTGTTTTCTTTGTCTATGTTCAACTGTTTTACTTATGAAGCATTTCAGTTGAATATAATCAGTTTATATTCAATCCCTATTCCAACTATCTTTTTTATATCTCTAAATAAGTGAAGTTCTTAATAAACCAGGCAAAGAAATAACTTAAAGTTGAGCCACTCCCATTTAATAACATAATCTTTTAGTTAGAAGTCAATTAAGAGCATGCAATCTTCATCACTAAAATCCCTCTACTAGCAGTAGCTAGTAGTGGCACGGTCGCAATCTCCAATTTCATGTTTAAGTAAATTTTCGACCAACTTGCAAGGCCCATGGTGAATTTAAGGGGCGAACAGAAGCTAATTCTAAATGGTTAAGGAATTAGTTTCGAGTTAAATTTAAAGAATTAGCTTATTGCATTTTCCTTCTCATCTCACTTTTTTTCTTCTAGTTAGTAGTCATTAAATTGAATAAATCAACAAACATAATTAATAAGTTCAAAAGATAAGGTGGACCGTATAGAAATCATTCCTCTAATTTAAAGCAATGATTTGAGGCATTACCATGGTTAAACTCACCTCAGATGGTGAGTTTGATACCTAAATATGAATGACACACTCTTTGGCTTAGCCTAAAGTTCGACTTAAGAGAAGCCGAAGCTTTACTATTAGGTACGGAGGGAGGTGAGGCCTAGGGGCACGTCCCCTCTCACCTTGTTTCTCACCTACTCATGTTTAAACCTTGTTGAGTTGCTTATATTATGTTAGCATGCTTGAGCAATTGTTGATTATTAATAGTTAATAAGAAAAATGAGAGAATAGGGATATAAGATTAGTTATTTTGTAACTAATTTTTGTAGTATTCTTAAAACTTAGCTTTATTTTTGTTAAAAAAAAATGAAACTTAGCTTTATGTATCATAAAAATGAGCTTAAATTTTTTTAAGGTTCCCTCTTAGTTAGTTTTCTAGCTTGACCCATGCTATTATGAGTGTATTTTATATCACATTCGCCCATAAAATATGTTTTATATTTGACGCGTCATCAATTTAATGAAATAGCAGACATTATATTACTTGAATTCATAAACTGATATGATTCTAAAAATTCATAGTGCAATATAAAAAAGTGGGATTATTTCATTTACTTTGAAAATCACTCCAACCTATAGAGTACGAAATGTAATTGGCCTACAAACTTTTATCACAAAAACTACGACCCTTGGAAGAAAATTTCCCAAATGTGATGCCAAATTTGTGAAGTCCATGGTCCGAAGCCACCAACCGCCCACAGTTTACATTACCATCATTTGGTAAAACAAATAAAAATGAGTGCAGATGTACGAAGCTTCATTTTTTTTGTTCTGTATAATTGGAGAGCTGCCGAAATTCTAAAAAAAAGAACTGCTGACCACGAGAATCACCTTCCTGTCTTGTAGCATTAGGGTTAACATTTTCTGTATTTCTTAATTCGTACGGCTTATTATTTTATCATAATTGGTAGGCTTGTTGCTTGTTTTGTATGATTAGCGTGGGCCAATGGTGATTGTTTTTCCATGGGAGAAACACTTCAGCACTGTGTTTGGACTTCGGAACAAATAAAGTCAAAACTAAATGTTACATGCAAATTGTTGTTAAATACTATATAAGTTGAAAATGTAACAACTGGCAGACATTTATGGTTGTTTTTTTTTATGGTAAATTACATTTTCATACCTTAGGTTTGAGGTCTATTTCAATTCCTTACAACATCTTCAAAACATTTCACTTTTATACCTCAAGTACTATTTTATTTCAAAATAATACATCCGTTACATGTTCCATCCATGAATCCGTTAAGTGCTGAAGTGGCTGCCACATATATGCCACGTGGCTGCCAAATGTGTGCCATGTGGTAAAAAAAAAAAATTAAATTTTTTTTTTAAACCTGAATTTTCTCAAAAAAAAAAAAAAAAAAAAACCATTATCCCTTCCCCCAGCGACCCACATCCCCAAAGAACCCAAAAACATGAAGAAGAAGAAGAAGAGGGAGGGAAAAAAAAACCCAAACCCATTTCCCCACCTGTAAGAAGAAGAAGAGGGGAAAAAAAAATGCAACACACCCCCCCCCCCAAACAAAAAGTTCCCCACAAAAAAAACGCAACCCAGTTCGTCTCCACCCCCTGCCCTGGGGACCCCGCGATCCACCTCCCTTGCACAGAGACACCTAATCTCGGGTGGTTTTGTGGTAGATTCATCTTGGGGAGTTTAAGATGGGGATGAGTTATGGTTTTGTGGTAGATCTATCTAAATCTCGGGTGGGATTTTTGAGGGTGGGTGATGGGGGATGGGAGAGAGGGGTGGTTTGGGTGGGATTTTGGGGTGGGTGATGATGGATGGGAAAAGGGGGTGGGTTAGGGATGGGGTTTTTTTTTTTTTTAATTAATTTATTTTAAATTCAGGTTAAAAAAAAAAAAAAAAATTTTTGCCACGTGGCACACATTTAGCACCCACATGACATATATGTGGTAGCCACATCAGCACTTAACGGATCATGGATAGAAAATGTAACGAATGTATTATTTTGAAATAAAATAGTACTTAAGGTATGAAAGTGAAATGTTTTGAAGATATTGTAAGGAATTGAAATAGGTCACATACCTATTCTTGTTCCCACTAAAAAACTCCTAACGGGTATGATATACAGCCCGTTACAAAACTCGGTATGATATTAAACCGTTTACGGTCTCAACAACCAAACGATTCATGCGTACAAGTAGCAGCAAGTAAGATCTCGCTTTCAGCCCTATATCAATGAAAGAGCACCCAAATTTGACATCTATAAAATCTATTTTCCGGTGTTAACGAAAAGTAGTCCGATTTCCTCATGAAAGTTTGGTGGTAAAGCGATTTCAAATGAAATATGTGTGCATATGCCAACAAGTATGGATGCACAGAAGGAATGCTAGTGTTCTTGCGTGAAATCAAAGTCTACGAAGAAGCAAAAGAAAGAACTTGCCTAAGCCCAAGGATGAAATTTCATCTTGATGGAGGAAATTATTCCCCCTGCTTACTGTTTCTGGCTTGAGTTAACTTTTTGACAGTGGCAAGCAGGTTCTTAAAGGTTGAGTTCAACACAACACAAATTTTATGTTAGCGGAGAGATGACGGAAATGTTAAGTTTGGGCTTGAATCTTAAGGGATTTCATCACGAGGGTTTAAATTTAAATTTTTTCACCACGGGAGCTATCTTCTGATTACCCGTGTTGTGTTAACAGAGAGTTGACGAAAATGTTAATTTTAAGATTGAATCCTAACGGACTATACCACGAGGCTTTAAATCTAAGTTTTTTCACTATAGAAGCTATCTTCTGATTACCCTATTCCTACGGAGACCATTAATCCAATTTATCCTAAAAAAAAATGTTTTGAAGATGGACTTCAATTTGAATGCCAACCAACCCAGCAAGAAGAGAGAATCAGATTAGGAAGGGAGTAGAGGAATTGAAGAGGCCCGAAATTACAGAAAAGGGACCACGGTCTTTTTGGTAAACGGGCCCACTAGGTTTTTTGGTAAGCGGGCCCACTAGGTCTACTGGCATGAGATTATTTATTCTTGTTACTCACCCTGATATTGGCATATTCCTATATTCCTTTGAATATTTTCTTAATATATATTCCTTTGCATGCACTTGAATGTTGTATATATTTTCATATTTTCTAACTTTGACAATTAACATTGTGATAGTTTAGACTAGTATTTATAGCCTAAAGTATTTAATTTTGTAAAATGCCAAAAGCATAGCATTGCTATTGCGAAGGTTTTGGTTTGAGGCTAAAAGATTAGCAAGTTTCCCTAGTTTGTATTAGCAAAGGTTGGCAAGATATAATCTCTTTATATACTGTAAACTAGGTATATTACAAGATGATTTCAGTTTTAGTTGATATATCTTTTGCAGAGATTATCTCTAAATGTGTCAAAAAAAAAAAGATAATATCAAAGTGATTGCAAGATGTGAAAGAAAAAAGATGTAAAAATGGAAGGTCGAAAAGGTAAGATAACTCATAACAAAATCATCCTAATTAAGTTGAACAAAAGTGTCATGCAATGAATTCGTAGCTCAAACGGAAAAGATTCCCTCTTGTACAGTTGTATATATATATATATAAGTCATTTGTTGGATTGCTGACTCAGTTCCACAGTCCACGAGATGACTGCAGAAATAGATGGCCTGACCCAATCAAAAGAGTGTATGCAGGGTTGCCAGCCATAGAGACAAAATGGTGGGTATTAGGTAAAGTTTTGTCTTAATACATAGCCCAATCAAATCCTTTCCTGTAAAGTATAGCTTAATCCATCTCAATAACGTGGAGTTCAATCCGTTCATATCCTTTTCACATGAGTCAATGGACTCAATACAAGTCGACAATTTCACAATATTATACTGATTGACCATTGACGCATATGCAATGCATTTTAAATAGAGAAGTGTTATCTACATAATTTATTTTTATTTTTTATAAATTTTTCTCAATTTTTTGAATCGTCTAAATTAAAAAATATCAATAATAAAAAACTAATAAGAAGGTATAAAAAGTAAAAATGGATACATGATAGCACTATCTTTAAACAATCCATAAACGAAAGTTCAAAGTAGGTTGCACGTTCCAATGTGCTTGACTGTCTTTTGGCTTTTTGCTTTCTACACTTCTGTTCTATCTACTTCTTCCTTCTATATATACCCCCAACTGGTTTTCCTTCAAGTCCAAGTCTTCCACAGAATCTTCATTTTCCCAGGAAAATCTTCCCTGTTTCCAGCAAAAGAAAATCAGTTCTGCAAAAAAAAAACTCATGGGGAGGACTGGATTGTTTGATCTTGAAGGAAACTTTGCCTTCCATGGAGCATATCACAACAACCCAATTAACATTTTCATACACACTTTCTTGGTGTGGCCATTGTTCTTCACTTCTGTTCTTCTTTTCCACTTCACACCTTCCCTCTACAGTTTCCCAATTCATGGCCTCGAATTAAATTTGGGGTTTGTTTTCACGTTGGCGTATTGTTTGTATTACGTCAAATTGGACAAGAAAGCTGGGTCCTTGGCAGCTTTGATCTGTATTCTCTGCTGGGTTGGAGCCAGTGTTCTTGGCAGTGAGCTAGGGTTTTCTAAGTCGTGGAAGGTTGTTCTGGGTGGTCAGTTCTGCAGTTGGGCTGGACAGGTCATAGGCCACGGGATATTTGAGAAGAGAGCCCCTTCAAACAACTTTCTTCAGGGACTTCTAATGGGGCCGTACTTTGTGCTGCTGGAGCTTCTTCACTCAACTTTTGGGTATGAACCCTATCCAGGGTTTCATAAAAGTGTTACGGCAAAGATTGAAGCTGATATCAAAGATTGGAAGGCCAAGAACCAAAAGAAAGTCTCCTAATTAATTTAGGTGCTCTGAGATATATGAATGTACTAATAATACTATTAGGTTATTATTTATCTAAATTATGTCAACTCGATCTCTATAGTTTCGTCCAATCAATTTTATGAACTTACATAATTGTACGAGAAAATTTTTCGGTTGTGACCGTCACAAGATTCTTTGTGACAACTAGCTTATATGAAAGTTTCAGTTTTTTAAGGTCTTGCCAGATATTGTCTGGTTTCTTGGGATGTTTGCTTTGCTTTTCAGGTTATTTCTAATGGTTTAACAAGTTGATTAGTTAACTAATGAAACTTGCACAAAGGAATCTTGTGTTGTTTGTTGTTCAAGGCAATGACGAAGTATTATGCTTTTATGCTTATTAAAAGACTGAAAACAAGATGACTAAATCATACACGTATGACCTTTGTGGAGCAGTTTAAGTTGGACTGGTTTGATTGGATGATAATGTTTTTATTATTTGATTCTATTTGAGCATATTGTCACATCTTAGATCTTGACCTTGGATCTAAATAAATTATTTGGATGAATGATGCTATAAGTTGATGACACGCGAACGAAACAAGATAATGAAAATAATAGTAAGAGCTAATTACATTTTCTACCTCCAGATTTAAAGTGATTTTACAATGAGTCATGAATTTTTAATTTTCTCATATTGCACCGTGCAATTTTAAAAGTGTATTTGATTTACACATTCCATCTCTTTGAATATCTCATTCTCCATTAAATTAATGAATTTTTTTTATTAATGTATTGCAAATGTAACTTACGCATTAGCTCATATAACCCTAATATTAATAATAAAGTTGAAAGTTAAGGGGACATTTGCTGTCACCACCACATTTGCTTCGTTCAGCACAGAAGCTATTGGTGTGCATTGTGTATCTAGCTAGTTGGACTGCACTAGCAAAATTACTTCCTGACAAATGTATTAGGTCTATGAGTTTTAGCCTTTATTAAAGAAAAGAAAACAAATTGGAAGCAAGTGCTACTGAACTATAAAACACACCGACCAGTCTAAAAGTGGTATGCTAAGGTTAGCTTCAATGGTGCTGGGTAAGAGCTACAATCCGTGTGAGTTTTGTGTTTTCTATATATTAACTCCAACCTAGCCCATGCATGCACATATTTTAAACTTTCCCTTTGTGGGGCAAGACAACTCAGATTTTATCTTTATATCTTGAGATGGAGGATGACAATTGGATTAACAAACCATGAGATGGAGAAGGAGAATGAGCACTTGAAACACTTTATTAGTCTACTCCGATCAATGTTTACTAAAGCTTCCTTAAACCTTAAGCGGAGCAATTAGGTTTTCATCCCTAATTTTCGATTTTATAGATTGAAGTCTTATTCTTTTTTAATTTTTGATCAAGGACTTTTGGTTTTTATCCACGTCATAATCTCAATAATAAATTATTTACATGTCAGCATATTTAAATTTTATAATGAAAAATAATTTAACCATTTTCAAATAGATCTATTTAGTGTTAGAAACGTTACATTTGATAAATTTATATCCATGGCTAAATTTTGTATCATATACTTCTATTTTTAATTTGTATGTTTTTTTAACATGCACCAATTTATTTTCTAATTTTAATTTGTACCTATATATATATATATTTTTTTTTTTGTGCCCATACTTTAAAACTTTTGTTTGTACCTATAGGTTTTTTTTTAATCTTTTAGGGAAACTGTTATTAGCACTTCAAAAATCTCATTTTGTACTTCTTACAAGTGTATTTCTTTTTCTAATTATAGAAAGTTTGGAATGCAGATTTTTGGAGTGTCATACAAATTTCCTCTTTTATTTGTACACATAATTTATTTATAATGTACCCATTTTCTATAAATTATGTACCACATTATATATATGTAAAATGTACCCTTTTTTGTGTAATGTACCTTTTTAGTCTAAAACATACCAATATTTAAAATAAATAAATAAATCTGATCAGATTTCACACAATTCAAATTTGAGGATCAAATAAAATTAAAAAAAACTCCTACGCGATATTAATCTTTGCATGATTTTAGGAAGAGTTTAATAATTTTGTTATTATTTTCTTAATTAATTAATACTGAAATTTAACATTTTGTCCTTCAATCAAAGTATTTGACACACTTTGGCTCAGAATGTCCATCTGGACTTTGAATCGAGCTGTGATGGCCGACACCCAGAGGGTGATGAAGTCATAAAGTGTAGTGATGTGGAAAATATGAATAAATTTAAACCTAAAAGTACCTAATTATAAGAGTGCGCTTGTGAGCGGAAATGAACCCATTTTACACGTGATGTCAGAGCATAAGTAAAGTACAATAAGATAAGATGAGAATTATACCAACGAAGGTAATCTCCAATACCAAAATTTGTCAAGAATCCTCGTCGATACGAAAGCTCAGCCACTAAAACCTGGAGGGGGTGAAAAACAAGGGTGAGTAGGCTTGAAAATAAAGTTTTAATAAAAACCTTTTGAAAACGTTATAACCCCTCGTTGTAAAACAAACATAGTTTCCAAAATGTACATACTACGTATAGTATAAAAATGCTTACCATAACCAGCAATATTTCAAGGATGCCATACGTCATAACTTTTGTAAATAAGTACATGACAATCACATATTTTCGCCTAAATAAACATATCACATCGAATGCTCATCGACAAATGCTGACACACAAGCTCATGCAGAGGTATTATGACATGAATAGGAATGAGTGTAATAATGATATACGCTCTAGTACTACAATAAAATGAAGATTGGTGCTAAGCGCATCACATACGAGATGGAGTTGCCTATTACAACCTGTACGACAAAACTGGCACCTACAATGGATCCAAGGTGAGTGTGCGGTGCGATGTGAACATACACATGAAGCCTAGCCTTGGCCCGGGCGAGTACTAACGTTGGTGCATCAATGATGAGCAAATAACTTAAATATAATCATGCCACAACAATTCAACAATTCTAGTCATTATAATATTATTCATGACCATAAATATAATTAAGGCATCCCCCTTAGTAATAAGCTTACATGTGCTTTCCGTAGGATTATTTCATCATTTCCCAACAATAAGGCATTTCTTATAAACGTTAATTTAATCATGGCAATCACGTCTAGAATTTATTAATAATGGTATATATGGAAACTAACAAATATATATATTTATTATTTATATATAAAGAAAAGATTCACTCACAGATCATGTCGTCAAGTCGAACCCGTTCGAACTAGAATAGCTGAAGTCATCGATAATAATCGCACCTAAGCATAATATTATGATCCATTAGTAAAACTCCACTAAAACAATTAAATTTGGGAAAATAGAGTGCGAATTTGGAATTAGGGCGTCGAAATACACTAATGATAGTCCCCGATAAATTTTGTAAAAAGTCAACGGAGATGTCCCGGCGGTCAACTACGTTAAAACTTTGAAATTTCACTAAATGAACGTCAAAAACGGACTCAGGCGTCGAAATTAGCCTAGGAAGGTTCCTGAGAAAAATTCGAAAAATCAACATAAGGAATATTCCTAGAATATTCTTAGCCCATTTGAAAATTGGGCTGGGCTGGAGTAGTGGCTCAAAGGTTTGGGCCAAGGACTTAGATTGGGTTTTTGGGCCAAGTTTGGGCTTCGGCCCCTTTTTTTTTTTTTTTTCCTTTTCTTCTTCTCTGGCTGGTTGCCATTGCATCCATTAGATTCCACCCAATTCCGACCACACCAAAAACTTAACTAAACCTAGCCTTCCAATATATCAAATCAAAGATCGAAATACACCTTTGGTTTCCTCGACCGTGGCCGGAGGTGGCCGAAAAAGGGCTCGAAATGGTCGGATCTTCGTTTGAAAACTGGGGAGTATTTCCTCGAGGTGTTTCCTGCATCTAAACATCATCAAAACATCTCAAAAACATCCTTATCATACTCTTAAACACGATCTACGAAGATCTTAGGGGTTTTTTAGGCTTACCTTCGCCGGGGCTACGAGAACTCGCCGGAGTTCTCCATTTCCTATTATTCTCCAATGTAAGATCCGAAGGTTATTCAAGTTTGGGTTCTGGGCTCAGGAATAAGGAGATGGGACAAGTTGGCGTGATGGTGATGGTGATAGAATATCTCTGCACTTGTAGATAGGGAGCACGAGCGAGAGAGTTGAGGGAGAGATGAGAGAGGTGAAGGATGAGGGAACTGAGACCATCTCCAACCGAGGGCTGGCCAGAGGGCTTGTTTTAGCCCACTGGCCCTTTAAGATATTAATATTTTAATGAACAGTACAGAGCCATATTTGTCTCCGTCTCCAATCGAGGGCCAAAGGGCCAAACATAATTTATTATTTAAATTTAAAAACTACAACAACTTAAATTCAAATCCAACAACAACTTAAATTTAAAAACTACGAATTATATTTAAAAACGACGAATTATATTTAAAAACTACAAATTAAATTTAAAGGAATGGTGAATGAATGGTTTAGGTATTTATAGGAAAAAAAAATTTGAATTTTTAAGAATTAAAAAAAAAAAAGGCCCAAAAAACCTATAATTTTTTTTTTTAATCTAATGATAACTAGCGTCAGCTAGTCGTTGGATTCAAATTTTAGTTCAAGCATTCATGTTAGTTATAACCAACAAGATTGGTGTTTTTTCTGGCCAGCCCCAGGCTGCAGCTAGCCCTTCAACCCTTTGGCTCTTTCAAATTCCATGGGGCCCTCTTAGATTTCACAAGCCCTTTGGCCTAGCCCTCGGTTTGAGACGATTTTCGGGCTATTTTCGGCCCTATGGCCCTCTAGACCCTTCAGTTGGAGATGGCCTGAGAGAGTGAGAAGGAGAGAGATCGAGAGGGATTTCCAGAGAATCCCGGGGAGGAAGCCACACAGCAATAAGAGAGTGGGGAGTTTTGGGATATGTGGTCACCACGGCTAATAATAATTAATAAAATATTTAGAATATCTCTTAAATAATTTTAAAATAATAATATTGTAACATCTCACATCGTCCAGGGGAGTGATCCTTAAATGTATATTCTCATCTCTACCTAGCACGAGGCCTTTTGGGAGCTCACTGGCTTCGAGTTCCGTAGGAACTTCGAAGTTAAGCGAGAAGGGGGCTAGAGCAATCCCATGATGGGTGACCCACTGGGAAGTTGTTCGTGAGTTCCCAAAAACAAAACCGTGAGGGAATGGTAAGCCCAAAG